GAGGGAAGCCTTCGGCTATCAACAGAAGGCAAATTCTCAAACAAAAGCACCCAAACAGACGATGAAGCCTCCGGAAGAATCAACACTTCTACTCCTTTCCCCTCAAGTACCTTTCGGCAAAAGGAGTGAGGGACTCCTGATGGAGTATATGGCCCAGGAACCCCCGGCCCATAGACTCCTACTTCTCCTACACAAGTTCATTGGGCCCAGGGAACAACTCAGGCCCAAAATGCAGCGGCCCGAGCCTCAACGTAGCCCAGGATACGCACTGGGGTGCCTTCGGCCTCCTTGGTCGAAGGCTCCAAACCTCACAGGGTAGCCTTCTCTAGCATAAGAGGCTACTGGGAGAAAACGGCGAAAAATATGAGCCTTCGGCATTATCAAGCCCTCAGCATCAGAGAAGCCCCCGGCTAAACCATGCCTCCGGTCACACAGGGCCTTCGGCCACACAGGGATCCTTGGCTACATGGAGCCCTCGGCAACACAAGGAGCGCTCGGCCAAGCACACTCAATCATCGAAGATTCCTTTTAGGGACAGCCAACCACCGCATTTAATGCCACGTCACGTCCGCCAACCGCATTCAATGCGGTGGACGTACCACTGCCGGTGCCAACCGGCTGAGGTGACCCTTCGGCCGTTGGATTACTGACACGTGTACTCCCATCGCATTTATTGCTGCTATAAATAGCAGCCCATTTCTTCTTGTAATCGACATGATCTACACCTCAACTCCACACGCTGAGTTCATTTAATAAATCGACTCTCTCTCCTCCTATTTTGCTCTGACTTCTCTCTAGTTATTCCCGCAATAACCCCTCGGATAGGATACCCCCCGGGTGGACTCTCCATCACATGTATTTGTTATCTTTTTTTTTGGGGTGTTAATATAATTTACATTTCATCTTAAAAACAGAGAAAGAGCATGTTAAGTTTTTGGATGACATCCAGCTTTTAATCCCTTAAAGGGATTAGAGTCAAATTGGACACTATGGTTATATGAAAATCTCGTATTGGACACTAAAGTTTCAAATGGATCAAATTAAACACTATGATTACTTATGTATCTCATATTGGACACTAAAGTTTCAAATGGATCAAGTTTTACGTTTTCTTGTCATTTTCGGACAGCCACCAAAGATTTTCATCTTGAAAGCTACAAGTATTCCTTTTTCTCTTGGTTTTATGTACCTAAAAAATAAAAATAAAAAACTTAATTCATGTATTTAGATTTAGAACTAGCGTTTGGTCACGCAAGGCGCGATATCTTATGCAGTTATGCCGAATGTTAACTTAAAATTTCTTGAGTTTAATACTCCGTAAATAACTACTTTAATAATGTAACAATTGTAGGTAGAGTACCGTTTTGAAAGTGAATTATTATATACTAAGCACTACGTATCTCTTATTCGCCGCATTAATATACATGGATATTGAGCCGGTGTTGTAACGCAAGTCGTGAGGGACTAAACTTAAAAATATTCTAAAAATAATATTGTAAGATTAAAAAGATTTTGGCTTTACTTGATATATGGCTCAATAATAGGTGCAATTTAATTTTGAAATCGACTTCTTTGTTGACTCAAAAGCATGAGGGACTAAATAAAATGCTTATAAGAAGAACACTAATGACAAAAGATTAATTATACTTCGAAAATAATGTTATGAAAAAGAAGCATATCAAATATAATTTACTATAATTGGCCAGTACTCAAACTATGAAAGCAATCACCTAAAGGTGTAGCTATAATTGGCCAGTACTCAAACTATGAAAGCAATCACCTAAAGGTGTAGAAGAATAAGAACCGTGGTCATGTAAATTAGAATGAACACATAATTATGTACTGGAAAATTGGACAATTATAATTTACTAATAATGTGGCAGTTCACTCAAACATAAAGAACTTGTTCGGTGAAACTATTTTTCTACTTATAACCTTTTTTAATCAACTTTTTCCCAAATATGTAATTTTTGATTACACGCGCTAAATTGTGTAATGATCAAAATAAGTAAGGTTGAAGATATTTTTCTAGTTGAATTGGCTGAAGTTAGTATTGACGACTATTTTAGCTATTTTTCATATAATTTTTTCTTTATTGTATTAATAATTGTTTTTTTAAAAAAACTAATTTTATCATAAATCAATAAAATCAACAAACCTAACCACTTCAGCTAGAACTTAATACATTTTATTAAGATTAGCCGATTCAACCAATTTCAGTGTTATCAAACGAGCTCACAAAATACCCATTTTCTAGAAACACCATGTGTGTGTTTAAAGGGAGTAATGTTTATGCTTAGTCAACATTTGAAATACATTTAGATATGTTGACTTTGGAATTGGATAATTTTGGGTTTTATACAATAATATTACTAAAATAAAACTTATTTACATAAATATGACTATTCATTAATACAGCGTAGTGTTGTGGTAACTGAAGTTCAAAACTTGAACATGAGTTATTATGATTTCATTACTACTCTAGTAACTAGTCATATTTTTGCAAATCATCTTTATTTTGGTCATATTTATGTAATTATTTCGATAAATTTTACCACGTAAATCATTATAAAATAAGACTCATAATGTATTTAAATAAATGGCATTGAAAGGGATACATATTGATTACTCAATAGTCAATAACGTTTACCTCCTAAAAGATGTTGGTTCACCTTCTACATAGAGATAGAGATAACAGTGTTTCTTAAAATTAAACGGAGGAAGGGCATTTAAGCCCATAAAAAGAAGAAGTACAACGATTTAATAAAAATATACAATAACTTATGCTTATAATAGATGGACATAATTCAAGATACTAACTCACATTCACAATTATAATGTTTTTAGATTTTAGATATATATTAGAAGTTCCAATTAAGAAAATCTATTATAATGTAATTGAATTCTTTAATATTGTTAAATCGATTTAACAAATCGACATTTCTTAAAGTTCCATAAAAATCATATGAATGAAAAGTCCTATATATATATATTTTCAAATTGTTAAATATAAGATTTTATGAATTAAAATCAAACTATATATTCTAAAACTTCAAATTAAATATTCCAAAATTATATACGTAATTAAATTAGTTTATTTTAACCAAAAAGGAAAGGAAATATAAGTCTAACGATTTTTATTAAAGGAAGAAGATCGAGAATCATAAGTGAGTGTCCAAAAACTATGAATTATGAAACTTCAATGTCTAATACGTAGTATGATATACATATGTAACTATAGTGTCCAATTTAGTCCATTTAAAACCTTAGTGTCCAATATAAGATTCTCATAAAACCATAGTGTCCAATTTGAGCCTTATCCCATCCCTTAAACAAAGAGCTGGTTCAATCCTGGAGACGCCCATTTTTTTTAAAGAACCCTTAATAACTTAAATTGGATGACATGAGTAAATTGTAATATACCCTTGTTTCGAAAATAAGTTTAAAAGTACTCTTATTTAGAAAATAAATTTTAAATGTAACCTGCCCTGAGAAGTAAACTCTTCCTTAACCTATAATGGATGACACTAAAGCACTAGACCCGTCCCCGATTCAGAACCAAACCGGAACCAGAATCGAACCGCCAGCTCACGGTTACAAATTTTCGATTCCATTTTTTATTTTTTTATTTTTTGGATATTAAAGTTTAGTATTTTAAAATTAATTAATAATTTTTTTTAAAAAGTATTACAACAATAAATATCTCTCATTGTTAAAACTAAGTACAAAAATAACATACCCCCGTCCCGTTGGAAGGTTCCCACTTTCCTTTTTTGGACGCCCCGTTAGAAGGTTCCCATTTCCATTTTAGGAAACAATTAACAATCTTAAGTGACAAATTAGTCATTAAATATTAAAAATAATACATTTATCACATCATAGTTATCAATACTAACACATTATAATATATACCTATTAAAATTATTTCTCAAAATATACTTGAAGTACTTTATTTAATTATCACCTAGATAACCATGCCGTTTTGCTATGGGAACCTTCCAGCGGGACAAATGTAGTACTTAATTGGTAAGTAGTTATAAATTAGATTGCAAAATCCTACAATCTATTATTCTAAAATAATTTAGTTTTAAATAAATTATGGATACTTATTACTCCATACTAACAATTTTAATAAAAAAATATTATAACTGGTAGAAAAATAACTAAGAAAGTAAGGAGTAGTAACTAGTAACTACTTTCTATTTTTAGTACAATTTTGGAGAAATCAACCAGACTAGTAACCACTGGTTTCAAATTTGAAGTTCTATGCGATTCTGGTTCCGATCTGGTTCAAAAACCGGCGTTTTAACTGAAAACTGGGGCTGCACATCGGGCGGGTTGGGTCGAGTTCGCTATATTTTTTGGGTCTACCCAATTTATTCGGGTTGGCTATTTACCAATCCGCAGTATGAAATATAAGTTGGTAAATCATGCATGAACAAGTCGGGTAGGGTCGGGTATTGAAAGGAATTTATTTCGGATTGAATCTTTAATATGGACAACTGGTTTATAAGAGTAAACCATGCATGCAATGTGAATCTCGGTTACCTTATTTCCAAAATACACAAACAAATACAAATACTTTTTATAAGAGTAAACTTAGGGAAATAGTGTCAAAACATTCTTGCTTACAGGAAATTAATCTAGAAGCAAATGTATATATATACTAACCACCTAGTCAAAATGGTAAATGTTTATAATACTAAAATCAGTCTTAAATAGAGCACAACAGTCTTCAATAGAAATTATCCAACTAAACTTTGTAACATAATAATAAAAAATTGAACTTTCGGCCGGGTCGGGTACTATCGGGTTTGAGATTTTAATTCCGCAACCCCACCCATTATTTGCGGGTTCGTATATATTTAACCCGTGAATATTTTTAAAACTCAAATACCCGACTAAAAATGATCGGATATGGTTGGGACGGGCGGGTTATGCGGGTTATGCAGCTCCACTTAAAACCGCGGACGGGTCAATGGAGCACCGTACCCCGACCCCACTCCCACACTTACATCACGCACCCACTTCCCTAGTTCCCTGTCGCTCTGAGTTAAACATTTCCACCCGGATGACGATGCGAATGGCTAGCTCGCTCACCCACGCTCGCCCTTTTATCAGCTCCCCCACCGTCTATTCTTCCCGGTTAGTCCCGCACCCGCCGGACCTCGTCAAGTGGATCAGGAGAGAAGGTGGGTTCGTCCACCCGTCGCTGAGGATAGCAAACTTAGAGAAAAATGGGCTCGGGCTGGTTGTTTCTGAAGATATACCCAAAGGCTCTGGCCTTATTTCCCTCCCAGAGAACCTCCCGCTTCAGTTTGGACTGGTGGAATCTGATACTACGATTGCCAAACTGGCTCAACAAATCCCTGGTATCTTTCTGTTTTTGTTTCTTTCATGCTATCTGTTCATTTGTGTTTGATATTTGTTCAATATCGAAATTTAGTTTCGATACATTTTACGGAGTATTGTTTAATGATGTTGGGTGTGAGCTGGACTAGAAAGAGATGATATGCTGAAATATTTATCCTTTTGTTCCTAAGTTGGGCATACGGAAAAAATGAAAAATAGAAGGTGAATAAACTAATTATAATGATTGATATATTTTAGAACGATTCAAAGGGATATCTACATCGTTCAATAGTTCAATTCCCAACTAAGCATTACTTGGATGTTTATCATTATTATTGGTACACTCTAAATCCTTCAACCAAGTAAGCCTATCTGATTAAATTTGAACACGAAAACGACTCCTCCTTGGCCGGAAAACTTTTCCTGAATCAAAGCAATTTTGTCTAAACGTTTTGTAGGTCCAATGCATCACCAATAATAAGAATGGCCATCATGCCTTCTAAATTCTAAGGGAAGTTTAAACTTCCTTAACAAATGCTCTGTTATAACTAACAATCATTCAGATTTCAGAAAATCCTTTTTATCTCCATAGTACATGACTACATGTAGGCAGCGTCGGATGCAGGATTTCCCGGTAGCAGGGGTGGCAGTACAAAAATATACATACAAATACATATATATTAAAAATTTCGGGGTAAATATACCTAGATTTTTTTTTGGAGGGGCGGCAGCCCCCTTTGTGTCCGCCACTGCATGTAGGCCTGCAGTATGCTAGTATTACTGTTTAAAGTTTGATCAAATATCAAGGGGATTGTGATGTGTATTGAAATTTATAGTATGTATTTTCTAATTTGATCCAATTAATTTTCACATTCTTTCCTATGTGGTCTATGCATGTACTTTCTTTATCAGTATGTATGGACGTATGGTACTTTGGTAGGTAATTATATTTCAGTTTAGTAAGTTTGTAACTCAAATCATTGCAAATAGGATTTTGAGTTTTGAATATAAGTAAAGCATTTGGCAGAGGAGCTATGGGCTATGAAATTGGGTTTGAAACTCCTGCAAGAAAGAGCTAGAAAAGGGTCCTTTTGGTGGCCATACATCTCTAATCTTCCAGAGACCTATGGTGTGCCTATATTCTTTCCTGGAGAAGATATAAAGAACTTGCAGTATGCCCCTCTTCTTTATCAGGTATTTTCAGGACTCTAGGTGAACTTATGGTCATTGGTCAGGGTATTTTTCAGACCTGGAAAATGTTAGGGAGGAAAATTTGAAAAAGCTATCTATTCAAACTCATTATGTGTGTGTGGGTGAACAAGAGTTACAGGCTAAATACTAATAAAAATTAGTAAAATTTGAGCAGATATAGAATAGGTTGGTACCCACAAAATGCTAGGGAGAGAAATAGGGAGAATAAAGAAGGAAAGTGTATAAGGGAAAACTGAGTTTGTGAAGATATATAATAAATGGTTCAAACTCGATAAATCAATTTAGTTTTGTTCAAAGTTCAAACACATTTGTTCATATATTTCTATTTTATGAAGGTTGGGACATGCCAGTATATGGACTACCACAAAAAGTTTTAATCATTTTATTTTGACTTTCGAAGTTGAACCCAAACTTTTTAAAACAATTTTCATTAGCCTTATTTTTCTTTTCCCTGCTACCTGTTTTCCAAATTTAGCTGAATTCCATTTATATTATCTTGTGTTCAGCTAAACATTTAAAAACTATACTACCTCCGTCCCATTTATATTGTCCCGGAAGAGGGTGTCACGGTTATTAAGAAAAGTAGGTTTGTGTGGTTGATATTAATTGATAAAGTAAGAATAAAGTAAGAATGATTTAGAGCCACACATACTTTGCCAAATATGGTATGGGACAATTTAAGTGGGACTTCCCGAAAAAGTAAAATGGGACAATATAAATGGGACGGAGGGAGTACTCCGTATTGACCTTACCAAACCCCCCTAAACATTAAAAAATTATACTCCATATTTCCCTTACCATTCCCCCCTGATAGGAACCAGACACGCAATAGGAGAATTTATGTATATTAACTATTAAGCATGGGATTTAGAGAAGATATCAGGATTCCATAAGCAACTATACAATGGCAGAATCAATAAACCAGTGTACAAAAAAGATAGAGGCAATTTCGAGAGTGTCTCTCTTTCCCAAATCCCAATAAATCGATCCAAATCCCAGCCTCCCTTCTCTCTCTCCTTTCTGTTTGTATCAACAGTCTCCTCCCCCAGAATGAGATGTCCATCTCATCTAGTTAGTTACAATTCCTGGTTCCTTTTCTTCTATACATTTTCTCAAAGTATTTGATATTATTATGATTAATCGGAACCAGACACACGATAAGAGAATTTATGTATATTAAGTATGGACAGAGAAGATCTCAGAATTCCATGAGCAAATACAATGGCTGAATCGATAAACCAACGTACAAAGAAGATAAAAACAATTTCAAGAGTCTCTCTCTCCCAAGGCCCAACAAATCTATCCTAGTCCTAGCCTCCCTTCTCTCTCCTTTCTGTTTGTATTAATAGTCTCCCCCTAGCATGAGATGCCCAATCTCATCGAGTTAGTTACAATTCCGGGTCTGCATCATCATTACCCTCTTGAACTTCCACCTTGTCCTCAAGGTGGAATGCTGAAAACTGCTCCTTGAATTTACTTAGAGATTCCCACGGGTCTTCAAAATCAGGTAACTGCCTCCAATGTACCAGTAGTTCCTTGTCTCATGTTGGACTCATTCTGGTTACCAGAATCTTTTCTGGTGTAGCCTGTAGCTCCCACTCTTCTGAGGTAAGGGTTGGCAAGATGTGTTAGGGGCCACTGACTTCTTTAAAAGTATATGTGAAACACTGGATGAATAATAGCACATCCTTCTGGCAGCTTCAATCTGAAAACTACTGGGTTCACCTTCTCAGTCATCTCAAAAGGCCCAATGAATCTGGGGCTCAACTTCTGGTTTTCTCTCTTGCCTCGAGCGTAAATCGTGTAAGCTAGACGTATTGCATCAAGCCACCAATCCAATGATTCCCATGAATCAGCAGTCACGTAGACAGGACTGACAGATCCATGAACTGTATCAATGCAGAGGAAACAATATCAGGCATGTCAAGTGTCAACTTTGATAGCTCGGCTGCTTGAACTCGTGCTATCTCCAGGGTTCGAGGAGAGGTTTCGTCTTTGCTCAATCGTACTGATCTAGTGTAGCCCCTCACGATTCAGGACAAATTGAGAACGCTTTTAATCATTATGTGGTGCAAGAGGATTTCAGGAAGGAAGCAGGTGGTCCAGCTAGATATCCAACCTTTAAATAGGGTAGAGGCAGCATGGAATATGGAATGGAGAATGGAGATCCCCTAGGTTGAGTAGTATCATCGTCCAGATCTGGGACTGATGGTGCAGCCGGCTTCAACTCAGGATTCAGTGTCAGTGGTGGAGTTCCCAGCAATCCATTTTCTGATTCAACGTGGTCTATGGCTCTGGAAGCGGATGATTCTTGATTCTCCGTCCGTCGTCTGCGCCTCAGAGTTTTGGATCTTCCTCGCGATCGCCGTCTCTCCTGCTGGACAATGATATTCCGTAGCGCTTCAATCATTGCTTGCATGCCGTTGACATTTCCCTCCACATTTTCCAGTCATCTCTCCATTTTTGATCGGGTGACCGGCCTTCACTGGACTCACCTGAATCTGATTCTTCCAGATGCTCTGATACCAATAATAAGAATCAAATACGCAATAGGAGTACTAATTTATACTCCCTCCGTCCCGGAAAATTGTTCCCGCATTGACTTGGAACAGAGTTTAAGAAAGTGAGAATAAAGTGGAAATGTATGGTTGTGGTTGAGTAAGAAAAAGGTAAATGAATTGTAGCCACAAAAAACTTTCCAAAAGGGGAAAGTGGAACAATTTTTTGGGACGGCCCAAAAAGGAAACCGGGAACAATTTTCCGGAACGGAGGGAGTATTAAGTATGGAATTCAGAGAAGATATCAGAATTCCTTAAGCAAATACAATGGCAGAATCAATAAATTAAATCTATCCAAATCGAGACAATTCCGAGAGTGTCCCTCTCTCCCAAGGCCCAACAAATCTATCCAAATCCCAGCCTCCCTTCTATCTCCTTTCTGTCATTTAGAGCAACCTTGGCAAAATGGAAGACAATGGAGAAACTGGTGTTATTGCATTTTTTCTTCAAAACTACTAAGATGTGTTTGGCTCTCTTTGTGTCCATATGCAATATCACAACGGGAAAGAAATAGTGAGAATGCAATTCCATTTAAAAATTTAAGAAATACATTTGCGGTTTAATGTTTAATTACTTGGATTGAGGAAATGAGAATTTTCCATCATTTGTAATGAAGCCAAAAATTCACTATTTTTTGGCTTGAGAATATGATGGAATAAAGCAAAATGACTCACTAAACTGTCTACGCTTCTTTGTTATGAAGCAGCAATCCGTTCATGCAATTTTGGACGCGTTTTTCACTATGGATCATCCGGAAACAGTCTCTCCGTGTTTTAGTACAGGGGTAAGACTGCGTACATCCGACCCCTCTGAACATTTCCTCAATCATCATTATTACGCCAGTGCCGCAAAGGCTCCCACCTATGATGGGGTAAGGGGGGTCAGATGAACACAGTCTTACCCCTGTACTAAAGCACAGAGAGACTGTTTCCGGATGACCCATAGTGAAAAACGCAAAGGCTTTAGTAACAATCTCTCTGACAACACTGAATCAGCAGTGTCATGTTAAAAATACCTGGATGTACTAGAATATTAATGTTTTAAAAAATCATATTAAGTAAGAATAAAGAAGAAAGTGACATGGTTGAAAATCAAATTAAATTAAAATTTCCAATAGTTTATCTTCATATGCTAAAATTTGACTTGCTGTATCTTGTGCCCATCAGGGGGAAACCGCAAAAGATGAGATTGATAGTTACTACTTACTAATTGCTTTTACTTCTGGGGTATTGTGAATAATTTTTCTCTCATGTGGTTATGCTGGAATTTATAATCAGTGTTGTCAATAGCGCGCTATAGCGGAGCGGAGGAAGGGTTGAGCGCTACAGCCTACAAGAACACCTGTAGCGTTGCGTTTGACTCTAGTGGGAGTAGCGCACTAGCGGCTGCTATAGTGGGAGTAGCGGACGCTATAGCGGCACTATTTTCTTTTCTTCGCTGCAGTTAGGTTTTACCTTGGCTAAGTTTTGTTTTCTGAGGTATTAAGGGTAAAGTAGACTTTTGAAAATATATAGTAATCACTTTAAAAACCTTTTACGCACTAGTGTTGCGACTCACACCTATACGATGACAATTATCTGGTTCTCTTCTTCAAGAACAAGTAAACGACCTGTCGACCTTTGCAGCTTCATCTCCTACAAGAACGACATCTGCTACACTCCTCCTATTTGCTTCTTTTGAGTATATTTTCTTCTTCATCCTCTACGAGAACTACCTGTGCTGCACTCCTCCTCTTTCTAAGTAACATCTATTTATTGTTTAGACTTGAGTTGTTATTTAAGCATTAATAGCATCATATGTTTTGTTCATGAGTCATGACAAAATGTAGTATTTTGTGGGGGGTAATTTAGGATTTATGAATGTAAAGATGTTTGGTACTTTCAGTAACATAAATCATGATTTATAATTTGATGTGTACACAATGTAATTATATGCATACATATCATATGTATTTTGCATATATATTCTCTGAATAGCAGTCATCCCGCTATAGCGCTTTGAGGGCTGGCCGCAACGCGCTATCTGGGATTGACAACGCTGTTTATAATGCACCAGGTAAACAAGAGATGTCGGTTTCTTCTAGAATTCGAGAGAATTGTAAAACAAGAGCTTGGTCATGTAAAGCAAGACAATCACCCTTTTGAAGACCAACATGTGGATTCATCAGCACTTGGATGGGCTATGTCAGCCGTTTCATCTCGTGCCTTCCGTTTGTATGGTGGAAAATGTCTCGATGGGACCCATAAAGATGTTCCGATGATGCTCCCATTAATTGACATGTGTAACCACAGCTTCAGTCCAAATGCTGAAATTGTACAGGAACATGAAGCAGGTGATGGAAAAATGCTTGTAAAGGTATTGATTGAATATAATTGTTTGCGTAGTTATAATGGATTTGCCAAAAATTTCATCATCATATCAAGTTTTGTTTGGTTGGGTTTAGGACAGAAACTGGGAAGAATAAGTATGAAAATCAGGAGCAGAAAATTGATGGGATAATGGGTAAAAGTGAAATGAAAAATGACTGATGTAAAAGCATTCATCCTTTATAATATACTCACGAAATTCAAATAAAAGGTAAAGTGTCTCATATAAACTATTATTACCCACTACTTTTTGTGTCCCCACTTTTTTGCGGGTGCCACCTTTTTGTGGGCCACAATTTTCTCCCCTTCCCCACTTTTTTCATCATCACAACAACACCATTACCCCAGTCACGCAAAGGTGGGGTAAGGAGGGGTCGGATGTAGAATTTTCTCTCCCACATAGAGACTATTTCGGGATGACCCATGATGAAAATTGCATGGATTGATTGTCATAATGATGAAGCGCAAACAATTTAGTGAGCCATTTTGCTTTATTCCATCATTTTCGCAAGCCAAAAAATAGTGAGTTTTTGGCTCCATTGGAAATGATGGACATTTTTTTCATCATCCTAACAAGTAAATAAATTCTCTCCCTTCCACTTTTCTCTTCATCCGAAGTCTGAACAACTAAAGAAATTCTCTCCTACTTATTTCTTTCACACTGCTCTCATCCCAGATTCCCAGAATCTATCTAAACAAAACAAGCAAAGTATTAATGTGTTTCCTCTTTTAACTATTATTATATTACGCTTTCTCATTGGTGTTTCCATTGCAGGTGATTGCTGCAGAAAACATAAAACAAGGTGATGAGTTAGAACTTAACTATGGCTGTCTGAATAATGATCTTTTTCTTCTTGATTATGGATTTGTGATACCCTCAAATCCCTATGACTGCATTGAGCTTAAGTATGATGCTGCTCTTCTTGATGCTGCAAGCATGGCTGCTGGAGTTCATTCCCCAAACTTCTCTTCACCAACCCCTTGGCAGCAAGAGATTTTGTCCGACCTAAATCTTGATGGCGAAAATTCCGATCTGAAGGTAAATTTATTTATTCTGCCTAGGCCCTTGCTATTTTCACTCACACTGATTTGGGTATTTTCCATGGGAGAGGAAGATGAAAAGGGAAAACAAAATTTTATTTTGAAGTCTTATTATTATTATTATTATTATTACTACTACCTCTTGTGTTTTGTTTGAGGTACGAGAGTACAGGAAGGGAAGAAAAGGTACTCAAAATAAGAGTTCAGCTAAGAATAGAACTCATTCACTTCTAAAAAAGAATAAAAGGAATCTATAATTGATTTTGTAGGATTGAATGTGTTCTATATTCATGTGGAAATGCTTTTCCTATTTGAATATTTATGTTACTATGCTTTGGTCCTACTTATGTAATTTTTCTAGTAGGGAATGTATATGATTCATTTTTATTAATTTGAATTGTTGATTTTGGATGGAAGTATAGTTATAATGTTACCAAATGACTATTTGAACCTTCATAACTTACACTAAATGAATTTCAAAAAATTACAGAGTAGGATGATAGGAACCTGGTATAATCTGAGCACAAACAGTAACAACCAAACACAGATCTGATAGAATGATAAAGGAATGATGTTTATTGATGAAGAAGATAATCCGTAGGCAACAAAGGCAACCGGGACTTAGGCAACAAGGCAACCGAGAATCAAAATAATAGTCTACCTATTATGGCTACCCCAGCTTCTATTTATAGCAAAAGTCCACGCAGGGACTAAATAGACAACTAAATAAGCTAGAGGCACTTAATAAGCTATTTAACTCCCCTAACCCCCTTATTTAAAACTACTGATTAGGCTGATGCCTAACATTACTCCCCCCCTAAACAACCACCTTGCCCTCAAGGTGGGTGATAGGAATCGATCTTCCACTTGCACTTCATTCTTGCACCTCTTCCTTCCCAATACCTCACAGATTTCTGAACCCATAGTTTCCTGATTCCAACCTTCATGGTCACTCCTTTCATAGCCCGAAAGAGCATAGCAAGAAAGAATAGAAGGAATGACTTTGTTGTATACTGCTCCTCAATGTTACAAAGGTTAAAATCTCCCAACAACTGCATCTCTGGCCCCTCTCCCAAGCATTTGATGTTGTGTTTCCTGAAATTTTTCTCTACATTTCCATGATTAGCTAACGGTCCCATTCCCAGAATCACCTTAATTACTCCAAGATCTAACAGATAAGGGTCCTCAGTCATCACTAAATGGTGTACCCAAATATGTAGTACCTCACAACTACTTTGGAGTGATATTTGCTCTCTTTTCCCCGTCTCGACTTGAAACCTTCTGATCACTGCCTCCTTCAGATCATCTGCACCTCCTTGATTGATACTGACAGTGTCATAAGTCACATAAAAAACATTAAGATTTGTCAATTGCACCGCATTTTGCGCCTCCAGGCTATAGCCATTCTCTTTGAACATATGCATCCATTCGCTCAGGCCCTTTGCAGCTCCACAACACTCAACGTTACTGCCATCCGATTTCAGAGTATCTAACAACCGAAACACCGAGTCTGAGAGATTTTCTTCTATCATCTCCCCTTTAACAGAGGCCATAGCTCTTGCAGCAACAGCATACACCTCCAGAGTAGGATATTGAGGAACTTCAGGTGCAAATCTACCTTCAAACAGTCCTCTACTTGTTTCAGGATCTCCATATGTTTCTGTACTAGCTGCAAGCTTCTCTCTGTACCTTTCAACTTCTTCCTCTTTCAATTCTTTGCCTACATCATCTGAAGAGAAAGGCATAAAAGGTTTTAGCGCGCAAACAAGGAGTTCCACCATACCCTCAATAGTTCTCTTAAGTATGAAACAGGAATTCCTATCTTCATTGTAAGACTTCCACAGTTGGTTTTCTTGCAGAATTTCAAGAGACCATTCAACCCCTTCATCTTTCAACGCTGCAGCTGTTCTCATAACTAAAGAACATGAAGGCCTAACTTCCATATAAAGCTTGCAAAATGGGTCTGCTTGCGTGTAATCATTTCCTTCGCTTAAAAGAGACCCGGGAATTGTTAATCCTTGTTTCCATTCCACCCTTTTCCTGATTTCATGATAATGTTCCATATATTTTCCAGCCTTTTCTCCCAAAGCAGTAGTTAAGGCTTGACTAAAATCCAAGGGAAAATGTTGAGACGGGCTGATTAGTGCATACTTGGCAGAAAGTACCAATTTGCAAACACCCACATCAAGAACCAGAAGTTGGTAATTTTCAAAACCAGGTCCCAAGCTTCTCTTCCCCAGTTTTTCTACAATTTCTGACATATGTCGAGGCTGGAAATTTTCTTTCGTGCCACTTGCAATTTGAAAAATGTCATAAAAACTGTCAACAGTATTAACTTTACCCCTTACTAACATCCCCAGCTTGGCCTCAGATTGAGTGAACACTGATTCTTCAATTGCAATATTCTGTGGATGCACCCCTGACTTCGCCAAGGCCCCCAGGACTATTACCACGCTGTCAACCACCATAGGCTTATTCTGATTTTCAGCATAAGCAACACCCTCCTCCATCCCTCTTCTATGAGTAAGTGTGTAAACCATGTTATCAAAACCTACACCTCCATTTAGCAAAAGAATATAAACTGGTGTCATTCCCCTAGCATTTTCAGCAACCATTTTGGCATCAAGGGTAATTCCCGAGCTAACATAAACAGCAGCAGATTCCTTTTCTTCATCAGTTTGCCATTGTGATAGTGGCCTCCTGTCAACCAACACCTTGGAATCTTCAAAGTAGCGATCTAACTGTTGATTTGGAATTCCCAGAACCTTCCCAACTATATCCCCAGAACCAATACATGCCTCGTGATCAGCATATTTCTTCAGAATGTTTCCCTTATCTGCTTTCTCAATTTCCTTTATACAGGTAGTCCAAGCACCCAAATCCAGAGAAGTGGTTCTCACAATGTTCCCTAACGGTTCCTCTTCCTGAGATATGGCAATATCGTTTACTAACTGGTGCATTTTGGTAACCATCTGTATCGTGTCTGATTTTAATTCATTTTCTAGGACATTGGTGAATGCCACATCTGTCATTCTGCCATTAACTTCTTGTATAGAAGCAGTGGAGGATGTAGCTTGAGATCCATCTATTTGTTTAGTGACATTAAGGATTTCCTGCTGAACAGAGTCTGTAAGATTAGTTGTACCTGAGCCTTCCGCAGTATTTGCACCAGCAATTTTATCTTCAAAGGCTGGATTCACCACAGACGATTTCTTCTCTGGTCCATCATCATCAATGAATGTAACCTCAGATGGAAGTTGCCGCTGAATGACTCCCTCATGTCGGACTGATGGAACCTGCGCACCGTGAGATGCGAATTGCAAAAGGGCAGGCGAACTGGAATATCCTGTTAGCGAAGATGCTCGCGTACTGGGAGAAGGGGTTTGCGGCTGAGATGAAACCTGCAAACTCAGCGAAACTGATAGCGGTGAACCTGAACTGCGAAGATCTTCTCGCGATGACGACTGGTGACGAACGCCGAGAGATGGCGAACTAGGGAACTCTGTTCGCGGTGAAGCTTGCGAACTGGGAGCAGTTGTCGTCCGCGAAGGAGTTCGCGACTGAGAAAACCGAGAAGAAACTTGTGACGGGGAACTGGGAGATGATGCGGTTCGCGATGATGAAATCGAAGTAGTGGCCCGCGTCGGACTATGCGATGATCGAGAATGATGATGAAGTTGTGATCGTGATTTCCCCCTGGACGGATTATGTTCCATCATCGCTGCTATCGCAGTCGCGATGCTGATATGGATCTGTTCCTTCATCGCTGTCGCGAGGGTGGCCATAGCCGTCTTCATCTCCAGTTTGAGCTTATCCAAACGAGCCTCCATTTCTGGTGTCCAGGCTTCTTCCATAGCTCCAGGGTAGTCGATCGATGATAAGTGACACTTCAATCGGATCCCCAGGAGCAGTGATGCTCTGATACCAATGATAGGAACCTGGTATAATCTGAGCACAAACAGTAACAACCAAACACAGATCTGATAGAATGATAAAGGAATGATGTTTATTGATGAAGAAGATAATCCGTAGGCAACAAAGGCAACCGGGACTTAGGCAACAAGGCAACCGATAATCAAAATAACAGTCTACCTATTATGGCTACCCCAGCTTCTATTTATAGCAAAAGTCCACGCAGGGACTAAATAGACAACTAAATAAGCTAGAGGCACTTAATAAGCTATTTAACTCCCCTAACCCCCTTATTTAAAACTACTGATTAGGCTGATGCCTAACATAGGATTAAAATGTATTTTTTCATGAATAATGGTTTTTCCTTCCATTTTGGAGAGGAATAGGATGGAAAATAAGGTTCATTTTCCTTTCCATCCTTGATCCCGTCCCAGACTAGTTGAACTGTTTTTCTCTTCATATTGAAATGTAGCCTCTTTCTCTTGTTTTTGAAAATGTCGTCCTTTAAATTTGTAATGTGTTGTAACTCTAGCTCCTGCCGTCATGGTAGTCAAACTCGAGATCCTACGTAGAATGGGAAGGAGACCGGCCTAAAAATTGGAAATCAAGGATCGTAACTCGAGTTGTAAGATCCTACAATATATGTGTGTGTATAGTTTTAATTAAACAAGTATACAACAACAACATCCAAGATTCCAAGGCTTCAAGCCTTAGTTCTAAAAAATATTGGGGTCGACTAACATGATGTCGGAGGCAAAAAGAAAAGAAAGATGCGAAAGATAAAAAGATAAGGCATGACAAAAAAGATTAGGTAAAGATAAATATAAGATAAAGATAAAAATGATAAGATAAAAGAATATTTATAATATAAAAAGGATAAAGAACATAAGAAAGATACAGAAGATAAAAAGATAAAAAAAATGAAAAGAGATGAATTCTCCACACAAATATTCTTCCTCCACTTTGCTCTCCCCAAAGCCATGCTCTCATCCAACCCAAGGAGAAGCATAATTTTAATTATTCATTTAATACAATCCATGAATAATAATATTATAATACATTAGCTATCTAAGACTCAAAACAGAAAGAGTCCTAGCTAGACAACTAGACGTCTAACACAGATAGACTGAACCTATAAACCGTTTTTATACTATATTGGAACTCGCTACACTGATACAGTTCCTAGGGATTTTTTACTGCCTAATAAAAAATGAAAAACAATAATAAATAATTACTTAAAGGTCGACACAGAAGATAACAACATATGAAGACCTGGTTTCCATGGGTTTATATGCATTAATTTTGAAGCTGCAAACCCGTTTCCACACATTATCCACAATTTCAGACTTTTCAGAATTATTTTTTCAGACAATTTTTAATAGGAGCTAATAGGAATCATATATTCGTACGATCCCACAGATGGTCAGATGGATCACAATTTTGACTACCATGCCTGCTGTTAATAAATTAACAAATTCCGTTCTTACATTTTTAACGGTAGGGACTATATAAAACACATGTTGCAAAATTAAGTGATGGCAGTTGCAACATATTGCACAATCAAGGGATTAAATTTTCATAATTTTAAACTGGCAATATGACTGAGGGACCCAAAGGACTAAATTTATAACATATGTCATAATTAAGGAAGTGTTCATTATCCTCCATTGCGGTCGGGCCCTCGCTTTGTAGCGACACCAATGTGCACCGGGCTGCCTTTTATGTCATAATTAAAGGATGAAGGTTACAAAATTTAAAAGAGTGAATCGATTTCAATATGCAATATAAATGAGAGACTAAAAGTCCTATTTTCCCTTCTAATAATTTAATCGAGTAAAATTCCTCTATTATTTTGCTATTGCCATCTTTAAGTTGTGATGTCAACAGACTAAATTGCATATGTGATGATGTTCTATCTTTCACTCCACGCTAAAATAGTTTAGGCTTGGGGGTCCTGAACTCGTTGAGGGACGTATGTTGGCTGCATTAAGAGCATTGCTATCGAACGACATGGAGTCGGTTCAAAATCACAGTATGGATACACTCAAGTCACTGTCAGCCGAATCACCCCTTGGAACATCAATCGAAGTTGTGGCTCTTCGTACCATTGTGGCCTTGTGTGTGATTGCTCTCGAACACTTTCCTACTAAAATCATGGAGGATGAGTCGTTACTGAAACAAGACATCTCCGCAACTACTGATTTGGCTATCCGGTTTAGAATGCAGAAGAAGTTTGTGATAATAGATGTAATGCGGGATCTTGCAAGGAGAATGAAGTTGCTCCTCTCAAAAGAACCTGCATCTGCTCAAAACTAGGTACAATTATCTAACCGTGTTGCAATTATATATACAAATTGATGCAATATTAGTTATTTCACACATAAAAGCTAAGGATGTTAATTGTATTCTCATAAATGCTAAATGTATTTAAATTATTTATTTAACATCATAAATTTACATTTGTGAAAGAAAAATCATAATATATAACTTACTCCGTATTATATAAACTTTGAGATATTTATATTTTATACTCCGTATTACATACGTAAATTTGGAGTGTTTACGTCACATCCTTCAAAATTTGTGATATTTGAATTATTTTTCCCTCTATAGAATTGGTGAGTATAAACAATAGCATTAGATTGTATGATTTATTATTGTTATTGTTTTGATGAATAAATGACAACTAAGTAATTACTACTTAAATGGGAATTTGTGAAGGTATATTAACACTGAAGCGAAATGGGATATCAGTAGGATCTTTCAGGCAGCATGACTGCATGTGCTTTTTTCTGGTTTTTATTTGTATGACGGGTTTGGACCGATCCAGGTCTGAACGATCCACTATGTAATCATGACTTTTATCAAGTTAGTGGTTTGGTAATCAGCTGGACTGAACAGGGGACCAGGTTGCCTGCTTTCGGGTAGACCCGTTCTGCCCAATTCAGTTCTGATAACTTTACGTTTTGGTAATCAATATTCTAGAGATTATATGAAAATGTATTAATATTAAGGGTCAGAGTGTTTGGTGAAAAAGTATTTCTTTTTGTACAATGCTAAGGAAAAATGAAAAACAATTTTAATGCCCTTTTATTCTAGTCAATTCAGTGAGCAAATTCGAGAATGTTGGTATGACGAAAGATTATGACTTTTTCACAAAAAAGAGTATCTATGTCCATCACATCACATGTATCATTAGTGATCACACCAAGACGCTAATTACAGAGCATGTTTAAGAATGTTGGTGTGATGAAGAGTTAATGATTTCGTCATCTTTAAGAATGAGAGAATATCTACACTCTTCATCATGTAATTAAACTTGTAATATAATTAAACATTTAAACAGGGCCGTAGATGAGGGCGTGCAAAAAGTGCTACCGCACAAGGCCTCTCGATTCAGAAAGCCCAAAATTTTAAATATAGTCTACATAATATACAAAATCCTTTTTTATTAGATTAAAGATTCCTATTTTAGTATTTTGTTTTTAAATACAAACATTAAATACTACGGAGTAACATTTATATGTAATTAAAATGCAATTGTTAATTATAAATGTGCAACTTCTTTATTACATAAGGGCCTGGATAAGGCATAGTTACAGTAATTAGCACAAATTCCTCGTACAGTTTGGACGAGCTTGGTTTTAAGGGACGGAGGGAGTAGTTTTTTCAGTAATATCCTACTCTATATTTTTTAGTTCATGATTTTAATTCATTTCTTTTCGGTTTTAGTTTTTTATTAATACCGATTTTGGCTGTTCAGGTTTGAAATATGATTATATCTCAATGCCATATTTGATTGTAGTCTTTTTTGGGTTATTTTTTAAAGACTATTTTTTATATTATATTTATTTAATATAAGGCCTATTTTACGTGATTTGCACCGGGTCTCCTAATCTATTAAGCCGGCCCTGCATTTAAACATATGTAGTCAAACTAAAATGTTTCATAACATAACTAAAATGTAATCAAACTTTTAATATAAGTAAACATATTGCATCATGTAGAGTAATAAAGTGGATATAAACTTTCGGCGGAGCTGCATTTATTACTACGTAGTACGTACTAGTAAAAGATAAGACATGTTTTGAAGTTAGGCTTACTAGAAAGCCAAAGTTGCCTTCCATAAGGAAGATGTGCATTCTTGACTTCAAGGGGACGTCAACTAAATAATTACTAAATGATACTCGGACATCAAAATGGAAAACATAACTCCTACCATACCGTTCAATGTTATCTTTCTAAGAGCCCGTTTGATAGCACGAAAATCGGCTGTTTTGGCTGATTTTGCTGAAATTTATGAAATTCTGGCTGAAGTGGCTGTTTTGGCTGATTCTGTTGATTCAAGAAAAAAATATTTTATTAATAAATTATAGAAAAAATTACATGTAAAAATAGCTAAAATAGTCCTCTACAGTAACTTCAGCCAATACAGCCAGAAAAGTAACTACAACCTTACTTTTTCTGCTTATTACACAATTCAGCACACAAAAGTAAAAGTTACGTGTTTGGTGAAAAAGCTGGCTGATAAGCCTGATAAGCCGAAAAAAGAGGTCTCCAAACGGGCTCTAAATTTGTAGTCCTGGCTGCCCTGAATCCATAGAACTTGACAAAAACTATGGACATCCACAATGGGAGAGCTAGAAATGGTGGGTTAGGAGGGGCGGACTTAAAAATTTATATTATGGAGGCTCAAACTTAAAATTTTATTAAATTATTTACTGTCTATAAATATGTATATACATTATAATTTTTTTTTTGAAGGACGAGACCCCCCTCCAACCCCCTAGACACCCAAAACAATGGGACGGGGCAAGACGGGGTTGTGAGTAACAACTAACAGGGGATGGGGAGAGGATAGTTGAACTTTGTAAGACATGAACAAGGTCTTAATAGGGGCGGATCTACTCAAGTAATAGGGGGTCAGTTGCCCCTAATAACCACCAACTAAACCATATAATATCTTAATAAATAGTGAAAATCTTAGAATTTGCCCCAATAAAAATTTTGATTGCCCCCTATAAACAAGAATCTTCCCACCCAAATGAAGACGATAAAGAAATTAGCCGCACATATGTTATGCTTTTGGCGTTATTTATTTGTTTAAGGCCATACACTATTTTTAACTTTTAAAAAAATATAAATATTAAAGGGAAAAGGTGCAAATAGGCCCATGTACTAACCAAAAAAGGTCAAATAAGCCCTTATTTAGGAAGTTCTATCCGGCCGTCGTCATTTGGGGTGGTTCCCGGTGAAATTTTTTGATAAAATTTTTTGAGCATCTTATTCATCAAGTCTAGTTTTCTCATACCAAATTTCAGCTAAAACTTCAATCGGGAAGGCATTCAAATGAATTCTTGAAGATAACTGCGCTTCTAACTGCCCAGTTATTTTCAAGAATTCATTTGAATGCCTTTCCGATTGATGTTTTAGCTGCAATTTAGTATGAGTAAACTAGACTTAATAAATAAGATGCTCAAAAAATTTCATCAAAAAATTCCACCGGGAACCACTCCAACTGGCGACGGCCGGACAAAGCCTCCTAGATAAGGGCTTATTTGACCTTTTTTGGTTAGTACATGGGCCTATTTGCACCTTTTCCCAATATTAAATAATGTTATTGTACTGATTAAAATGTTATTCATTTGTTATAGGATTTTTATATATCAATTAGATTTAATTTAATTGACAACTTACCGAAATAGTTATACATCTATTGGAGTATAATATTTTACACTACTAGAAAACAGAAAATGTCATTTAGTAAGTTAAAAATCCTAAATGTAAATAATGTGTTATTTTAGATAATTAAATAAAATGAACTACTATCCGGTTGAGTCGATCGATTCCTTTTCGTGAGTTTGATGCATCAAAGTTGATAAGATTGGTTGAGTTTTATCCAAGTAACTTTAGTTGTGTGGAAAGTTGAACTCTTTATCATCAAGTCATCAACTAAGTATTTATATTTACAATGTGTTAGCAAATGAAAGGTTTAGTAGCTTGAAAAGTCTTGATGAACCTGCTCAAGTGATAGTGAACATGAGGAAGCATTAACTTTGCTAGTTGTCACAACAACCGTAGATCAGAGAGATGCTTCTCTGCTATGAAATAGTGAAGACTAATTTATATAATAAGTTGATGACAACTTTTTTAGTGCTCTTCTAATCTATTTTATCGAAGAAATGTGATTGAAACTATTACAAATTAAATGAAAACTTGGCGCGAACAATTGTGATATATTTTAATAAATCTTTTGATATGGTAATACTCCGTATTACGTTAATATTTTGATAATTTTTGTCTAATGCATTTTTAATTACTTCGTTCCTAACTTTTTATCCTGAATCCGCCACTATGTTTTGGTTGAGAGACGAGCTGACAAGGGAGTGAATCTCGTGCCAAATTGGCTACATTGCCGTTCCTTCACTAAACTAACGTGAGCCCATGATTCCATGAGTAAAACTAAATATTAAAAAATGAAAAGCAAAATAAACAAACAAGCAAGAAATGCACAAATCAAATTCTCCTATTCGTTTTTGGAAAAATGACTTGGAGTTGGTGAGTATTATACTCCCTCCGTCCCGTTGGAATGTTCCCGGTTTGACCTACACACATATTAAGGAAATAAACTTATCAGGGGGTAAATTTTACTGTTTGGACACTGTTTGGACACTGTTTGACACTGTTTTGCACTGTTTGACACTGTTTTAATGTGGGATAACTTTCCATTTAGGGAAATGAGAACTTTCCATTGGGACATCCAAAAAAGGAAAGTGGGAACATTCCAACGGGACGGAGGTAGTATTTAAAAGTCAAGAAGAAAAATGAAATCCATTATGGAAAATGATAATCCTGATTCAATTCACCTACCAGACGTGGGATGTTAATTTCCAGGTAGTGTTCCCTCTATCCTATATTGTTGTCCCTTGTGAAGTTCAGATGTTGAAACAGAACTTTGGGCAGAGTCAATTTTTTATATCTTTTACACTTAACATGGTTTTGCCTGGAAACAAAAGTAAGGAGAAAGTGACATTTAACCTTAAGATATTTTATCAACTTTCGAAATCAGATCATGTAATGCAATAGGCAAAAGGGAAATCACCTATGTAGTACCGATACCGATACCGGTACGCGGAAACGCAGAAACGGGTACGGGGATACGTCAAAACAAAAAAAAGTAGGATACGGATACGGGGCCATATTTATAAATATTAAAAGTTATGGGGGTGTATTTACAAATATTAAAAGTTATAGGGGTCTATTTATAAATATTAAAAATAGAGTTTTTTTGAATGTATATATATATATATATATTTTGGTTCAGGTGAGAAATGCATCTAATGTGAGAAATGAGAATGAATCTCAACCATTGGATTTACGAAGTTGCACTAAAATTGGCTTTATGTTGCAGTAATATTTAAATTTTGCACATGTTGCACTAAAACTGTTTCATGTTGCACTAATATTTGACAGCGTTGCACCGAAATAGCTTCCTGTTGCACTAGACACGTGTAATACGAATTTTTCAGAAGTATTTACAGAAATGCCACCGTGCTAGATTGCATATTTCAGTGCATCATGAAGTGTCTTTTACTGCAACTTAGTCGAATCCAATGGCTGAGATTCATTCTCATTTCTCACCCAAAGGGTTCTTCTCACTTGAACCTTACCCTATATATATATTACTGCAATATAGAGGACTTTTCATGTCCAACCGGCCTGACGGGAACCGCCGTCCGGCCGAGGGCATTTCGGACACTTCCCGATGGAATTTTTTGATGAAATTTTTTGAGCATGTTCTTCATGAAGTCTAGTTTATTCATACCAAATTTCAGCTCAAAATTCGATCGGGAAGGCATTCAAATAATTTCTTGAAGTTAACTGGGCAGTTCATACATATAAACTGCCGGCTGGACGGCGGTTCCCGTCAGGCCGGCTGGACAAGAAGACTACTCTATATATATATATATATATATATATATATATATATACATACATACATATATACACACACAAACACACACTCACATATATATATACATCTAATATCCTATGATGTCTACCCATTCATTGCATTGAAGCATTTTCCT